ATTGTTGAGGAAGCCCCTCTGCAGTAATGTCCGTCTCGAATGAAAATCCTGAATTAGGTTCCTTATAATAGATGTTATTTTTAGGAACGTAAAGTGAGGATAACGGGAACGGGTAATCGGGTTTATTATTGATTGTTGAAATTAAATATTTATTGTGGGTTGAAAACCCTATATGCTCACCAGGCTCCCAATCCTGACCCACTCAGTTGATTTGTTTTACAGGAAGTGGCGCAAGAGCTTAAGATGGGCGAAATATCAAGTTGTTTTGTTTACAAGTCTGTATATATATATATATATATATATATATATATATATATATATATATATATATATTTGTTGAATGACTTGTAATGCTATCGTTTATGCTTTATGATCTGTATCGGAACATGACATCCCGACCTTTGATTGTCAAATGAAATCATATCTCTTTATGGAATGTTTTGATAAATATCTATTTTATCATGTTTTGTTTTTGGGAACAAATTCCGCATCTCTTTTAAAAACTAAAATGATTTAATCTGAAAACGTTTAAAAAGCATAAATGAAATCGGTCTTTTTTGGCCGAGATTTTGGGGATGTCACACTTACAAACACTATAGATTCGTGAGATGTTGCTTTGTCCAGAATATAAGAAGTTAAGATAGTCCATAAGTTCTTTCACATATTCACAGTGACTAACCAGAGAAGAGACAGAAGGCTTAACAGTATTGACAATCTGCAAATACAAACGAGCATCACTTTGTAGCCACAAATCAGAATCATCACCTTTGGGGGGATCAGATGTCAAATGAGAAGCCATTCCCATGCTTCGGAGGTAGCTCTGAATAGTTTTGTTCCACTCAAAGAAATTGGAGCCATTAAGTTTGTTGTCGGTGAGTCTAGCAATTACCGGAAGCAACTCAGGTACTCGTGGACCACTACTGCTAGATGATTTGTCTCCTCCGGACATCTTTACGAACTAGAAACAAATAAGAAAAGAGAACGGCACTCACAGGATGCCCTAATCAGGAAACGGTGCACTTACAAGGTACTGGAACACTGATGAACAGTACCAATGAACAGTGTCGAAATAGTGCTCGATGAACCGTACTTCGTGAACAGTACTCTCAATGCAAAAAACCCTCCAACCCTAAACCTCGCTCTGATACCATGTAAACTAGAAAATAGATTTAGAGTGAAAATAACCTTGTTAATTGTACACCTATTACAAGAAGATGTCAGGGTATATAAAGAGGCAGGATCCCTAGACATATGAAACCCTACAGGCCCATGGGCTAAAACTAGGTTAATGCATATGTACAATATTTACATTCCAATACTATTTTTTTTTCTATTATGGTTTTTCTAATATTTTTATTTATTTTGATTCAAGTAAACGAACTTGAATTCAATTTGAATTACTATAACAAATTTTTTTTTATAGAGACCGACTATTATTATACTTTTTGTTCTTTCTTTTAGTTTATTATCAAATTGAAAAATATTATATTGAATTTAAACTATTGATATCACATATAGAAATATGATTTAATTTGCAAGTTATATAACACATTGAAACACTAATTCTTAATAAACAATCTAATTTTTTTAATTTTTACTTTTTCGTAACATAAATATAATAGCACTAAAGAAAAAAAGAATAAAAAGAAAATAAGTTGGACCGAAATTACAAATATATACATAAATATTTTATTTACTTGAATAAAATAAAAAAGTTACAAAAACTATAAATTATCAAAATTATAATATACTCTAATATATTAATACATTTTATGTTTTTTGAAAAAGATCAATAAAAAGTTAAAAATACTGAGAAAAATAATTGGAAAACAAAATAAGAAAAAAATAAATAAAAAAAAGAAAAAACTAAAAATATAATACGAAAAGAAAAATAAAAAAAAACAAAAAAAAGACGGAAAACAAACTCTAATATACTCTATATATAGTTATATACGCTAGAAAATAGAAACAACATGTAAAAAAATCAAATTGTTGAAAAGTTAAAAAATTGAAATTAAATAAAGTATATATAAAAAAAGAAAATAAAAAACGTATGTACATTTATTATAAAAAATAAAAATAAAAACTCGAAAATAAATAAAGTATATAAAAAACGAAAAAAAAAAAAGTTAAAAAATCATGTGGTGTAATTTTTTGCAAACCTTAAGGATCAAATTTGAACTTTTTAGGACTTATTTTGCATAAAAATAACCAAGTTAACCATGAAACTCGTTAAGTGGGCTAGAACGATAAGTTATGATCATAACAATAATAAAAAAAATATTAGGGCGTTTTACAATTACGCGTTAAAAATTTAGGCTTTTCTAATATTAGTGCTAGTTAATAATTAACCACATTTTGGTTTTCCTTAGTGATGCAAATCCACATTTATGAGATATAATTAAAGCGTAGCCACATACAAAGGCATGAATATGACAAACAAAATTAATGCATTATTCATAATTGATTCTACTAACTAGTCCCTCTCGACAATCTCGGAATACTCTGTTCATGGATGAAGAAGTAATCAGGGTCGAAATCAGCCTTGATTGCCACCAGCCTCTCGAAGTTATCTTTGAAATACATCTTTCCCCAAGAAAGTCTTTTATCATCTATATCGTAAATGAATTCATGTTTATCATTCCTTCCAAGATCGAGATCTCTGAAGTTTGCATAGGCTTCTCTTGGAGAATTTGAAACATATTGGGTCATGCATTCGTAGAGCTTCCGAAGCACACCGACATGCTTCTCCTCCATTACAGGATCCATCCATGATGCTACATACTGAATCTTGAAAAGAACCCCTTTTCTGTGAGGAAACGGGGTCGATGACTCTAAAATCTCGTTCATCATTCCTCCATATGGATTCCATATCATCAATGGACTTCCTTCTTCATTCATTATCTTCCAGATTTCATCTAACCCTGATTCCGGAATTACTTGTCTCACAAAATCTGATTTTGCTTTAAAATAGTTCAAGAAAGATGGTTTTCCTTCAAGGAGGACAGAAGGTGGCACGTTTCTTGGGTATCCAGCGAAGAACATTACAGATTCTATCCAACTCATTTCAATACAATCCTCTTTCTGTAGACCCAGCTCGGGAAAATTCACGTTCATGATCTGCATGAGTCTATCTATTCCACCAAGAAACAATGCTTCGTAAGTTGTACTTACTGTTTTATTAGTTGTACCCGATACATTCGATCCAGCCAAAGTGACTTTGATAAAGAGATCTTCGTTAATAACCGAACCCACTTCTTGCCATTTGTAAAGAATCTTGGTGGCGTCTTGTTCTAATGTTTTGGTAACAGCGAACACAGTCACAGTTTCAGGGACATTGACGAGTTCTAGTTTCCATGAAACAATGATTCCAAAACTACCCCCGCCACCACCACGTATAGCCCAAAAAACATCTTCCCCCATCAATTTCCGATCAAGAATATCTCCATTTGCGTTTATGATTCTTGCATCTAACACATTATCCGCTGCAAGACCATATTTCCTCATCATCGTTCCATACCCACCTCCGGTGACATGTCCACCGACACCCAAACTCGTGCAAATCCCAGCTGGAAATCCTAGGGTTTTGCTTCTCTCCGCCACTCGATAGTAAAGCTCGCCGATGGTGGCTCCGGCCTCCACCCAAACAGAATTTTCAGTAGTATCGACGTTAATACCACGCATCTTTGACAAGTCAATTACGACAAAACTAGAATTCATAACTGATGTGTATGACAACCCTTCGTAATCATGCCCTCCACTTCTAACCCGAACTTGAATCCCGAGCTTTTTGGCACAAATAACTGCGGTTTGGATCTGGGTTTCATTCAATGGAGTGAAAATAGCTTCGGGTTTGGGAGTTGATTGGGTTGTGAAGCGAAGATTTATGGCTCTGGAGGTGAGAAGTGGGGTGAAGTCGGCGGAGTCAGGGGTGAGGAAAGTGTTGGGGACTAGGATGTCGGAAAGACATTGCAAAAAGGTTTCTTGGATTTGATGTGAATATGAAAATGAAGTAAGTGATAGTAGTAGGAAAAGAACAAATCTTGAAGAAGCCATGTTTTTTTTCTGCATGAGATGGAGGGTCAAATACAATTTTATATTGACGAAGGTTTGACCAAATAAAGGTAAAGTTAATTTGGGCAGTTTTCTCTTTATTCATTAAGGTGGTGTCATTGAATTTTGCAATTTAATAACATCTTAATAAGTTCTTTACTTCTTTAAGTGACATTTAACAAAAAAATTGAGTTCTTGAAGATTTTGTTTACGTTGGTAAATAGACTTCTTTTGAAACGTTTAAGAACATCAGAAGAAGAAGAAAAAAAAAAACATTTAATAAATAGAGTAAATTACACGAATGGTCCTAGGGTAAGTTGTGTGTTTGGTCTTTAACTATTTTTTTAACTCGGAAGATTTCTGCTGTTTGCTTTTGCTATGCTTTTGGTCTCTGTCTTACCTAAAAAGACTACTTTACCTTTGATTTTTTAATTTATTTAAATAAACACACCCCAACCTCACCCCCATCACTTTATCTTACATTACCCACAATTTTTCCCTATTTAAATGATAGTCTTTTTAGGTAAGACATGGTTCAAATGCATAACAAAAACAACAATATGGACCTTCTGAGTTAAAAAAAATTAGTTAAAGACCAAACGCGCAAATTATCCCAATCCATAGGACCATTCGTGTAATTTACTCTAATAAATAAAATGTTACATGTGGTAGAAGTTGGAACTTAACATTAAAATTTTACTATAACAGAAACAGTAGTCGAGACCCAAGAATAATCATTTATATCTCTTTTTATTTTTCTTTTCAAAAGCTAATGACAAGAAAATCTTTTGACCTTTGATTATATTTTGGAAAAAGTTGGAATTTTATCCATTAACATTCATCTCAATAGCAGTCAAACACACCAAATGTTACAAAGGTTCGAAAATAAGGTGTTTTGATAAACAAAAAATCTCAATTTCTCAAAGATCATGTAAATTCACTTTCCCCTATTGATATTTCTCCTCTACGCCTAAGCTTCAAAAAATTCAATGTGGGATAATCCTTTAGTTTATATTTTATATTATTGGCACAAAACAGAAAGCACATTACTAGAGAGTATATAATTGTTTAATAGATAGTATATGGTTGTTTAACAACCTGAAAAAGTCTTAGGTGTTGTTTGTTTTTTTGAAATCAAAATGTCTGCAATCTGCGGACCACATCTGCAAGCCTCTGCGACAGAAGAGATGGACCAAATGTCTGCAGTCTGCAATAAGAAGACTGTTTGTTTTTAACGTCTGCGGGCCGTTAAAATAAATTGAATTTTTAAACTTAATTTCATGTTATAAACATTAAAAATGCATTTTTAACAAAAAAATGAAAGAAAAAAAAAACTGCACGATGGCCATTTTTTTTTTGGTTTAGGTTAAAATAAGGTCTGAAGACCTTTGAAGACACTGGCCCATGTCTGCGCCAGGAAGACCTCGCACAGACGTTTTCTGATCTGCGCACTTCCAAAAAACAAACAATCTGCGAGGGCATACATCTGCGCGTTGTCTGCGCGGCGCAGACAAAAGTGGTTGCGCAGATCTTCACACAAAAAACAAACAGCCCCTTAGAATTGGGGAAATATGAGTATAATATTTTTTAGCCCAATGGATTAACATGAGACAAAAATACACTATATGGCATTAACAAGATGACTGATTGTGAATAATAACAAGCATGTATCAAAAATCTTAATTTAGGAGTTTTGGGCTAATTCTACAAACCTACACATTAGTTCTTTTTTTTCTTTGCAATTGTGACTTGTTAGAAAACAACAACATAATGAATTGTCCATCTCATAGGTGGTATCTCACATTCCATCTTCCATTAATATCAACATTAAATGTCCAATTGTTTTCCCTGACTTGTACATACGGAATCTGCAACAAAAAGACACATGAGATTACAAACATTACCAATAAAATTAACAAACAAAAAAAAAATTATTATTATTATTATTAGAGAAGGCAACTAATTACAATTTTACATGTTGATAAGTTACAAAATGCCAAATGACATAATACCAATGCATTTTATTCTCTCTACCAATATGGACAATCTACTTTATTTTTATCCATCATAGCAACCTACTTACATTTTTAACTCAGAATAGCTATTTACTTATGTTTTTTTTTTTTTTTTTATCTAAAACAACGCCATTTTATTCTTCTTTTACAAATAATAGCAATGTATTTATATTTGTTACATATTGCTATTATCATTTAAAACCTTCAATTGAAGATACATTGCAATCTATGTGTAAAGAATATAAGTATGTTGCTATTATAGGTTACATATTGCTATTATCTGTTAAAAAGGGAAGTACATTATTATCATGGGTAAGGAGTAGCTGCAAGAAAGCTGATTTTGAAGGTTTATATAAATTTACATCACTATCCCTATCTTTCATTGCATGATTATATGAATTATGATCCTTCAAAGTTTCAATAATTATTTTCAAAAAGACACATTAAATATGGAAAATACCTTGTCAACGATTTCCAAGCCAAGTTTGAGTCTTACATCTTGGTCTTTCTGAAAATCTAGCATGTTCCATACCAACTCAAGAGCTCCCTGTGGTGTTGGCTGTTTAAGAAATAAGCAAAAAAGAAAATAACTTTTAGATATTACACAATAATATTCATACCTTGAACACTAGCTAATTAAGAAGGTAACATTTTTTGTTTATGGAAAATAAATCTTGATTTGAAGTTTTCAAATGTGTGATTTATGTCATTTCTGTGAAAATGGACAAAACTTGGATTATATTCAATAGTTTATAACCTCTTAAATTGCTTTAGTTAAAAAAAAAAAAGGATCATTACTTTGATAATAGTTTAGACCATGGTATTTGTTATATGCTAGAAACAGTCATGTACTTCCATTGATTTGTTTTTATATCATAGACCTTCATGTCTTCTTTTTACAGCATTGTTACTTTGAATTATCTACCCAATTATAACAATGTCATACAAATACAAAGCATATTTCTTGCTTATAGCCCTTTAATATAAAATTTATATATGAATTTGAAAAGATAGGCAAAACAACGTTGGCAGGTCAACCCAATTTCTTTTGACCCATTACTTGACCTGCTATTATAATATCGAGACAATAAAATTTCCACACACCTGAGTCAACTCTTGGTCAATATTGCAACGCCCTTTAAGAACAAAGTTCACATCACGATTGAATGAAACTGGATATGCTTTTTTCCCACGCAAGGTGCAATGGAGATTTTCATTTTTATCATAATGCAATCCAGCTCCAAGGCTAGCTGAAAGCTATATCAAGTAAGTAGATGTGTTAAAGATTGTTAATTTAAGCCTAGTTTGCTAAAAAATTCATAACTTAAGGGTAGAAATGTAACATACAGTAGGATAGGAGTGTCTAACAAGTGCACATAAGAAAGTTGGAAGCCCAGTTCCTGTATCAAGCTCTCCGCTAAGCTGCAATATTGGAGAATTAGATGTCAACGTAAAGCACAAGTTTTTGAAATCCCTAATTTGAACCGGAGTTAATCTTCTTATCAAATTAATCAAAATGCAACAGAATCAAGAGCTGATTTCTTGCAGTAACGTCATTGCTAGATAAAACCCAAACAGAAATCCTGAACTCCTTATGATCAACAAAAACAAAATCAAATAAAGACAGTTCAAAATTGCTGCCAGTAACGATAATCAAAAGATAGTGTTTCAAACAAATGGTGTGAATTTGCGACCTGAAGTAGCGTGTTAGAATCGATTTGGAGCTTCTGCTTAGCGTGGATTTTGAGGGCACTTACATCTCCGGCGTACTTCACCGTAGGAGGATTCTTGTTTGTGGCGATCCTGAGAGCGCGTGATTCTCCACCGTATCTTAAGGAAGTATCCATTTCTGCGAGGTGGATTATTAGAAGCTGTTGGTAAAACTAAAACCCTAGCTATGGCGGAGGTTCATTTATATACTGTACTTCAGGCGTAAGCAATTTTGTCCCTCTTGTGGATAAAAAGCCAACGGAGCAAAAACTGGAAGTTTGGGGTTTGGACAATAAATTTAGTTTTGTTGTTTTAGAGATCTCCTTATTTTGTTTTGTAGACTTTAGATAGTTACTTATTATAAAATAATACTTTATCCCTCATAAAAACTTAAAGTAACAAATAATCTTTTTAAAATACTTAAACAACAATCATATACTTATAAGTCATAAAATAATAGTTCCTTATACACACATATTTTTTTTTCGAGATAAAACTTAGAAGTGTGATTAATAACTAAACAATTTTACCATATTAACTTAGAAGTGTGATTAATAATCGAACAATTTTACCATATTACGGTTAGCATTATTCACTATTTGGATAAAACCGAATTGTCCAATTAGACAATTTGGATTGAACTATTTGGTTCGAATAATCGGATCTTTGGATTGGTATTCAACAAAACCAAATTATTGTTTTGGATTTTGAATTGGTTTTGGTTTATTAAATAAGAACCGAATAGTCCAAAAAAACCGTATAAACATTTATTATTTATTTATTTACAATATATATCTATAGTTATTTATTAATTTTGTTATTTATTTTTTCAAATAGGTTCAAAACGTTTCACCTGATAAAAAAACATTAATATGTATTTTCTCTCAAAAGTTTTCTTTTAAATATAATATATCTTCTTATTAGTTGTTTATAAATTTCAAATCACAACTAAATAATTTGTTTTCGCTTCTTGTGTAAAGTTCAGTAATATTATAATTGTATGTCGTTTTAAAATGTTTCGGTTTTTGAAAACCGAATTATAAAAACCGATGTGACAACTCGAAATTTCTATCTTGTACAAACTATTCACTTCAATCAAAGTCAGACTTGTTTCTGCTAACTTTTAGCACTGTTTAGAGTCTGTTTGAGCATTCTAAGCTTAATACACCAAGGGACCAAGTGTTAGAATGGGTCAACTAAAGTTCTAAACCATTGATCAAGCCATAAACCCTCAAATGAGGAGTTTACGGCCAGGACCATGAGTTTACAGCCGTAAACTCATGATAGCCGTAAACTTCAGCCTATAAGTATGATCTTTGGTCCATTTTTCTGCACTTTTTCCATTTCTAAGGCTTGGAACTCGAAAACTCTCTCAAGAACATCAAGAACACTTAGGTGTTTTGGGCCGAAAACACCCTCCTTTGCCTTCAAATCGTAAGTATGACTTCCTTATACTTGTTATCTAGTTAAGACTCAAAATGCTAGCCTTGAAATCAAGCTTTTCCAAGAACATGAGGTGTTTGCGGCCAAGAGCATCTCCCTTGGCCGTAAACCCTAGTTTGTGGTGCATTTGGACCTTAAGCTCTTCCTAAGGCTTGGACATGAACCTACAACCCTTCTTCAATACTTTTTGCCCATTAAAACACCCATATGCACAAAGTAGCATGAGTTTACGACTGTAAACTCATGGGCAATAAACTCATGGGCAGTAAACTCATGGGCCGTAAACTCCCTTGGTCATGCCATTTTGGCCGTAAACTCCTTTGAGTGGCCGTACACCCTTAGTATGCAATCATATGTGATTCATATCCTTCAATCTTAGAGTTACCTAGTCCAAATAGGGTGTTACCTTTCATGATTAGTTGTATAAACTCTAATCTTATGCATATATGTGTCCTTATATGCTAACTAGGATTTGTGTGTATGCTCAAGTCTTCACTTGACACCTAGCATCCTAGACCGATCTCTCAGTCGTATCGCCTACTACAGGTGAGTTCATACTCTTACATTTTCCGTGTTTTTAATGTTTTCAGGGGGAATACAAGCCAAACATAAATTTTTTCAACAATATAAAACTCATGCAATTCTCATACTTGAACCCTTTTGTACTATGTTGAGCATAAGAGACGTTTTCACTAGAATTGCATAGTTTTTCGGACTTGATATTCACTACGTTATACATTCAAACTATAATCGGTATAGTTTGGGATTTTCTAAACATAACAAGTACAGAAACTTTCACTACTAAATATATGCACTAAGACAGAAACAGTTTACAGTTTACATCACTACTTTATCATGGTATTCATAACTGTAATTATCACTACATACAAATTTTTCACTATGGTAGAATGCTACTACACTACATGTAAACTAGATTGTACGATACTGTGAGGCGCTACTTCAATACTGTACCCTTAGGTGTACAGGGATAAATCCTATCATAGTATAACCAGAGTCTCCTGGAGGGAGAGCATGAGATTTGTGAATAAATCTATTCGGGACTGACAATCCCACACCCGAACTGCTAGCTACAGTTGGGCAGGCATGCCTAGGGTGACAAATGTCATTTAAATCGACGCCTGAAGAACGTTGGAAAGGTCTCTAGTCATATCAAGTATGGTTATACGACTCACATTATGTATAAATCACTATTGGTTTACAAACTGTCTGTAACGCCCGAAGATCTGGGCTAGTCAATTTAGAGGCAATAGAGGTCGAAAACAACTTTTCGACAAAATATTATTTAGAATAAATAATCTTAACCAAGTTGTAGAATATGTCATAAGGTTTCCGTACATATAAAGAACGCTGAAATCCGAGTTATAACGAAGAAGTTATGACCTGTCGAAGTTTCGCGACGGAACCGGCACGATACCGGGAAACGTAAAAAGTGAATTTACGATAGAGCGAGATTTAGCCTTAGCGATCTCAACGAAAGTTGTAGAATACACTAAACCGAGAGCGTCCATAAAAAGAACGCCCAAATCTGACTTCGTATGAGGAAGTTATGATTTTTTGAAATTTCGGATTAGCAGTGTATAGCCCGAAATTCGAATAATAGATCGAGCGGTTTTTAGCCGACACGACCTAAACGAGAATCGAAGATCTCGTTAATTATAGCATAACGATAAAAAGAAGGACAAAAACGGACGTCGAATGAAGAAGTTATAAATTGTTAACGAACCAATCCTGTCCCGGCCTGTTAATAATATAACTTTTAAAATAAAGTCAAAATTAGCCGACGGAGTCTAAACGAAAGTTGTAGAGTACGTTCCTGCCTTCGCGTGGATATAAAGAACGTCGAAAACGGGGCTCGTATGAGGAAGATACGAATTTTTGAAGTTTAAAATCGAAATTACGGAGCTGATGATAGGAGTGCTGACATGGCAGCGCCACATCCGTCCGATACCGATGACAAGGCTCGCTTCTGATAATGCCATGTCGCCTCGCCTTCGCCCTACGCCCCGCGTACGAGATCCGGAACGCCCCGCATTCCCTCGGTTCTTATCCGGTCCGAAGTGCAAGACGGCTGGACGCAGCTGGCAACCTCATCCGAAGTTACGCCCAACGTAGCTCCTCTGAATGCGCCGCATACCACCGAGGCTTCGCCCTATAAATACCTTGCGAGGGCTGCCGACGAAATCACTCATTTCTTCATTCCTTTCTCTCTCTACTTTCTCTCATTATCTATTTAAACCCCCCTAAACTCTAGATAAGACCCCTAGCACCCTAAGGAAGCCCCGAGGCTCCCGAAGTCCCGAGAAAAAGGGTCTTTCGGTTTCGAAATGCTACTCCGAGCAAAGCCTGATTTTCTTTAAAATCCTCTGTAAGTGAGCTACGCTTGCGCAATTTTTAATATAGCTTTCGAATAATTATAGTAATGTTATTAGGTCCTTAAAATAATTATTTAGGCTATTATTATGAGTTATATAAGTATCGTTTAACGCTTATATAACAGTAATAATAGTCATACTATTAATTTGTCGTGGTTATCGTTAGACTAAACCCTAGTGGTATTGATACTAGGTTTTATCGAAGGAAAATTGTTTTGAGAGTATCGAAGTGCTGTCCGAGTGCTGAGTCACCACCTTTCAAGTGAGTGCATAGTCCCTTTCATGAACATGATTTTAATACAAGTATTGATTGAAGTATTAATTATATGTTTATGTGCGAGTTAATCAATGTTGCCTAAAATACGTGTTAAAGAACATACCTAGTTATATATGATGATTTAGGATAAAGAGTAAACCTAAATTAATTATGAGGAATATTGGGTAGTATTTTCTTACAAGTACAAGTGAGTTATACTCAGAGAATAGAACTTTAGTATATGTCATTGATCCGGGAGCATGGATTAGACACAGTCATTATCCCTAGTCCGAGAGTATGGATTGGACATAGTCAACTGTCAATTATCCGGGGGTATGGATTAAGACATAGTCAGTTGTCCTTAGTCCGGGAGTATAGATTAAGACATAGTCATTCGTCTTTAGCCCGAGAGTATGGATTAGGCATAATCATTCGTCATTAATCCGAGAGTATGGATTAGTCATTCGTCTCTAGTCCGAGAGTATGGATTAGTCATAATCATTCGTCATTAATCCGAGAGTATGGATTAAGTAAAGCCGTTCATTTTTGATCCGGGAGTATGGATTAGGTAAAACGGTTAATATTAGGTCCGAGAGTGTGGATAGTCTCGTTGTGAGGATCGATGGGGTAGGATAAGAGTTGTTTATATATATATATATATATATATATATATATATATATATATATATATATATATATATATATATGGTGAAATTGTATATTTTGTGAGTTTAAAATTATATATATGATATAACATTGTGGGATTGAAATGCCTATGTACTCACCAGGTTTCCCAACCTGACCCACTCAGTTTATTTATATCACAGGTGTTGATATGAAGTTACATTACACTGAGAGATTAAAGAGATATAGATCACTAGTGTAAATAAATGTAAGTTCTGTTTATGCTTATGTTTCTGTATTGACGATGAAATCCCAAACGCTTTAAAATGAATAAAATACGATTCTTCGAAAATGCTTTGAAAACGTATTTATCATGTTTTTCTGGGAATAAATTCCGCAACATTTTTACGAAAAGAAGTACTCTGATTTTTATAAAGCATAAACAAAATTGGTCTTTTCTGGCCGTGAAAAATGGGGATGTCACACTGTCATTCTTCAACAGTTTTATTTTACTAAATAGAGCTAATACACATTACAACTGGAGAATTTCCAGGGTTTTCAAACAGAATCGATCATACAATGGTTTCACGTACGAAATAC